CGAGGATTTTACGAGGAAAAGGCTTACGTGAAATTTTCGAGGAAATAACCAGTCCCGTGTTTTTACTTACGAGGAAAGGTTTGTATATCCCTAAAATTTGAAACTGCAAACCCCAAACCCCAACTTCCTTAACTTATAACCTCTACATCTTCCTAAACCCCAAATTCCAATTTCCCAAACTCTACATCATTTTCGTAATTAAACAAACTGAAGACACAAATAATTAAGACTTAAAATCATTAATATTAAAAAACTACAACATCATTCGGATACATCATTGCCATTCTCGGCATCACTAGAAACATCATCATCTTCGTAAAACTAGTCTTCAACAGCTTCGTCTGTTGTATGATCCGGGACATCTTCGTATTCACGATTATGCAGATCAATGAGTAGGATTTCATCAATTTGTGCTTCAGGTTCCTCGATTTCATTGGTGTGTTCCTCTTGCAATGGTGGTTCTTCTCCAGCGATTATTCATCTATGAGGTGTAACTTTGATAACAGTTAACCATTTTAATCCTGAGGTTGTCATCCGAGGGTATAATATGAAGCAAACTTGGTCCGCTTGTGAAGCTAATATGAAAGACTCAAATTTGTTGTACATTCATCCACCATTGACATCAACTACAACGAATTTGTTAATCCAAACACCTCTGTTGACAACGGGGTCGAACCACTCACACTTGAAGATGACGCATTTCAGCTTCAATAATCCTGAGAATTAAACTTCATAAATCTCCAGCAAGATCCTGTAGAAATTTGTTTCGCCTTTCACACATATTCCATAATTACTTGTCACCCAGTGTCTAATAGAGTCATAGGTATGAAAAGTATAGCCTCGTGTGAAATACATCGATGATATGGTGACCTTTGCAACTAGACATTGAAGTAATTCGTGAAACCATGCGGGATAATCGGGATCGTCATAATCAACCTACAAAAAACAAAGAACTTGAAATTAAACTTACTATCAGGGAATCGAGATGTATGCATAAAATTTTAAGTTATAATACAAGTTTCCTCAACCACTTGATAAAATGTTGATATTTCTTTGTGGTTAACTCAGTTGTTGATATACCCGGGCTTACTTCTTCGACTTGAGTCACACATTCGCTGTAAAATTATGTTATGTTATTTAGTCAATTGAAAATATATAAGTGTGTATGAACGTGTTTAAATGTTTACCTTTCAAAATAACGAATTAATGGATGCTAGCAATTGAGAAGAATATAAATGTGTGCACTATGGACATCTTCATCACCCGACCACCAAACCTCCTTCCATTTCCCATCCAATCGCCCAATTTGACAAAATATGTCTGGAACATCTTTTTCCATATATGTTGGCACGACACCATGATCATCATATCTTCTTGGAGCTGGTTTTCTTGTACGTACTTTCGGTGCAAAGTAGTACGATGTGAAATATGATGTTTCTTTCATCAAACTTCCCGCAATAATGAAACCTTCAACTTTTGTGAGGTTTTTGGCTTTTCCTTTTAAAGTTTTCATGGCCCTTTCATACTGATACATTCATCTGTAATGTACATGTCCACAAAGCAATGTCTCAGACAGGAGGTGGACAACTAGGTGCTCCATGATGTTAAAAAATGCTGGCGGAAATAGTTTCTCCAAATTGCACATTAAGATGAAGATGTTCTCATGAAGTTGTTGAACAACATCCTCTTTATGAGTGTGTGTTCAGATCCCTGAAAAATGCTATAATCCCTTATATATTACAAAAAAAAAAAATTAAACACATTAGTTTTTGATAAAAAAAAACACATTAGTTTAATCATATTTATATGTACTTATATATAAAGAAATTAATTAATGCTTGCGTATTATATTACCTACAAGTGCTTCATGTACTTTTACTGGTAGTAGCTCCGCAAATGCAAAGGGAAGTAGTCGATGCATAAAGACATGACACTCATGGCTCTTCATCCCGGAGAAATTTTGACTTTTCTCAACACATCTTGAGAGATTTGAAACCTACCCATCATGAAACTTTATTTATGAAGCCACCCAGTTGAACAACATTGACTTTTTCTGATGACAGTCTGAATATCAGAATTGGAACTTGCCCATTGCTTTTTCTATGTAACTCACTTCTTGAGCAGATATCGGGTAAGTTCAACCTCGATTTTATGTTGTTTTTGGTCTTCCCTCGGACATTCAGTATAGTGTTCACGATGTTATAAAAATATTATTCTCTATATGCATCACATCGAGGTTGTGTCGCAAAAAAAAATCTTTCCAATATGAAAACTCTCTAAATGTACTCTTCTTGTGCCAGTTGTGCTGAACACCATAAGAATCAGAACATTACTGAGAACATGCCAATTACCACCACGAGGAGCTGTTTCCAGAGCACCGTTGCGCTTCGATTTGTTCTCCAGTTAAATATGCAGGAGGAGTGTCTCTGACAATCCTTTTTGACTGAACAATGTCTTGTTTCTTCGGTATGGATGGTAAATAGGAAGAAATCGACGATGACAATCGAACCAACTAGTCTTCCTACCATTCTTCAACTGAAACGCATCTGTCATTCCATTACAATATGGACAAGCTAATATCCCATGTGTAGTCCATCCAGACAACATCCCATATGCAGGAAAGTCACCTTATGGTCCACAAAAGCATCGCTCGCATCGTAAATTTTATTTTCGTTGAACAATCATATGTCCTCACCCCTATTGACCACAAATATTTCAACTCTTTTATCAGTGGTTGTAGAAAAACATCGACAGATCTTTTGGATGCTTTGGACCAAGTATTAATATTGTCAAGAATAGAAACTCTCGTCACATGCACATCTCCGGTGGCACGTTGTACAAGGTAAGAAAAACTGGCCACAATGAATATTGTCTCCGTAACATTCCAAATGGACTAAATCCATCAGTGCTTAATCCAAGATACACATTCTGGCTATTGCTAGCGAAATGTGGTTGTACTTTGTTAAAGTGTTTTCAAGCTCTTGCATCTGATGGATGAGTCATCTCCCCATCCGTCTGAGTATGCTCGGCGTGCCATCTCATCCCTCCAGCAGTCTCCCCAGATTGGTACAATCTTTTCAATATGTCTTTGATTGCTAGGTACCACATCCTTTGGTATGGTACTCTATTCCGTACTTGTTCTTGCGGTTTGAATCGTGGCTTCTTACAGAATTGACATTCTTCTAACTTCTCATCATCTCCCCAGTAAATCATGCAGTTGTTGATGTAAACGTCTATCATCTCCGAGGGAAACCCAAGACTATATACCAACTTCTGAATCTGATAATAAGATTCAGCAGACACATTATCTTCTGGCAAATACTCTTTAAACAAGTCTGCCCATGCATCCATACAATTTTCAGGTAGATTATGATCGGTTTTAATACTCATCATTCTAGCAGCCAACGACAATTTAGACAGACCTTCTCTACAACCACTATAAATTGGCTCATTCGCAGCTTCTAACATTTCATAAAACTTTTTTGCATCTAAGTTAGGTTCTTCAACTTCATCATCATCATGAGTTACAAATGCATCACCTACCATATCATGAACCCTATCACAATCTACCATTTTTTCCTCCTGGTGATGATAATATTTTCATTACGCAAATGATCAACCGGTTCAACCTGAAAATTAATATTACTACTATTAGTTTCATTCCTACAACTACCATCTTCTCCATGTTGATACCAAATATAATAATATGACATAAAACCTCTATTTATTAAATGCTTCCAAACATTTTCACGAGGGCCTAATTTTGTATTGCAGCATTTCCGACAAGGACATAACATCTTACCACTTTCATGCGTGAGTGGTGTAGAATCTGCTTGATGCATAAACGTCTCCTACCCTTCGAGAAATTCTTTCGTCACTCTCCTGTTATTATCTCTGTGTGAATACATCCACTTCCGCAACTCGAAAATATTTCCCGGATCAGACATTTTATTTTCCTTTGATCACGTTTAAAGCTGATTTTTTTGGTGTGTTTGAAATGAATCACAAATGGTGCTATTTATAGAAATTTTTGTATCTGAGCATTTACTAGGAAATTGCTAGGAAAGGTAGGTACAAAACACGTTTTAGATTTAAAATAGATATTTTCTAGCCAGTTCCTTGCTAATTTGAAGTAAAAGAACATTTCCTCATAATTTCGTAGTAAGGTTTTATTAGGAATTTACGAGGAAAATATTTACTACGAGCTTACGATGAAATGTTCTTTTGCCACGTAGTTTCCTTGTAATTTTACTACGGCCTTACGAGGAAACAGTTTTCTCGTACGTTTTCGTAGTAAGCTGATTTTTTTTGTGTGTTTGACATGAAACACAAATGGGCGTATTTATATAAATTTTTGATTTGGTACGTAAACATTTACTTGGAATTTGCAAAGAAAAATAGGGACAATACGTTTTTAATATAAAATAAACAAAGCCTCGCTATTTCCTCGCTAAATCGCAATTTAACATTTCATCGTAAACTCCTGGTCATATTTATGTCGATTTTACGAGGAAACAAAAAAACCACATAGTTTCTTCATAAAACTATTAGGACGTTACGAGAAAACCCTTTTGTCAAGATTTTACGAGAAAAATACGTGGAATTTTTGTTTTCTCGTAAAGTTTTCTTAATATCACCTTAATTTGATGAGGATACATTTTCTTCGTTAATATTTCTAATTGAAAAATCATTTTTTTGTAGTGTTTTGGAAACGCCACCTCTTAGTAAATGTTAAAATTTCAGTCGTAAAGCTGTCCAATGATATAGTTTCACGTTTTAATTTAGACTTCTATTTCTAAATTACAAAGTAAAATTATTAGCGTCAATAATATAGTGAAACTATTTTTTTTGTTTGTTTTAGTACTATAATGTGCAATATTTCATTATATTATTCGGCTATTAACACCATCCAGTAAATAATAAAAGTCCCAAAGAATAACTGAGGACAATCTTGTCTATGCAACTCCTATATAAACACAGGGAAACCCATCTTCAAATTCACCATTACAACACACCAAAGAAACACCTTCACTCCTCCTAAGATTTTACTCTTTTGTCCAGTGCAAGGAACACAAAACCTTTCGATAAAAATGGCTGACCAGCAGAATCTCACACCTCAACCTATGACACCATTCTCCGCCGTGACCCCGCACCGTGCTATAGCCTCACAACCGCGCCGCCTCATCTCTGCCTCAACCCTCGAGATGATAATTGAGGAAGAGACAGCACCAGAGGAATATACTGCGATGGCTTCTCTTGCTGTATATCCGGCAACCTCTTGTTTCTTGATGTCCAAGAGACAAGTCTCTTTTCTATTGTACGGAAGCTGCAAGTGCCCTTGATGTTTTTTCACCACCAAGCGATTGAATAATGGTGTTTTTTCAGTTCTTGTAATATAGTTAAGTTATGGATGTGTGATGTCAATCATGGGTTGATGCTTTGTTTTTATGAAAGTTATATCAACTTTTTCCGCTTATATATATTCCACTGGATGATAATCATGTCAACAGTGTATTTGCAAAAAAGTTCTTCTTGGCTTCACAAACAAAAATGTATTAAGAATTTTTCTGATTACAAGACTTTGTATATGTTACCGGTTGAATGCATATTATATTCACAAGAACACTATTGGAATGTATCAATGTTTCTTCTTCTGATTTTTATTTCATACGCTTTGATGGCGACCATGAGTTGTCATTAATTTAGTTTTCTTCTGATTTTATTTCATACGCTTTGATTGATACCATGAGTTGTCATAGTTTAGTTTGAATTTTAACCTACTGACAAATAAAAATGTTTTCATTTACCAATCATGAATCACTTTTTAAAGAAAACTTGATTTTGACCGCGCTTAGAAAGCGCTATATAATTTTCCGGTGAAATATAATCATATTTTCTCTTTATTTAAACAGGTCAAACCATAAATTCCGTAAAAAGAAGTGTTATTAGCCGAATCCAAACGGATAATCTGAAAAATTGAAAAATTAAAAAACTGATATAAATGTCCAAACTAATCATATTATAAAAATTTAAAACATAAATTTTTATTTCAGATACTCAAATTTATATTTATTTTAATAATATCTAATTATAAGTATTATATTTTAAATAAGTACATTAAATATCCAATCAATAAGTATTTGTTTCTCTTTTAAATTTTAGATATATCCGAACCGGACCAATATAACCTCAATCCAAATGATATATGATTATTTTGATACAGAGAACCAAAATTAATGTGTTATATATAAACCCGATCCATATATACAAATTTACTTGAAAGAGACCTAAGTGTGATATAATTTAGAATCAAAATTCCAAATACCCAACCCGTATCTCAACAGATATTTTAAAGCCCAATCTAACTTAAAGTGTGTGTTTATGTTTTGTTTAACTATTTTCATATATAATAAATATTTTACATGTTTTTTGGAATAACCCGTAAAACTATACTCATAAAATATCAATAATGACATGCTTCATCATATCATTAAATATTAGTAATATCTAATTATTCATATTTTTATCATATATATATATATGTCTAATTTTAATACTCTATCTATAAAAGTTATATTTTTATGTATTTAATGAGTGTTTTGAAGAATTGTATCTTGCATTTGGGTTAAAGTAAAATTGTATATAAACAGATTAGTAGGCATATATAATTTTCATATTAATATAAAATAGAATTGATTACTTAATTAAAATTAGTGTTAATATAGATTGAATTTCTTATTTTTTTAAATAATAGATTAGTTATTTAATTTTTCAATTTTAGGCTAAGATATATATATATATATATTTAATAAATAAAAAATAGTTAAATGTAATGGTTCAACATAGAATATTTGTAAGTAGATAAAAATTGTTTTAATTTTAATAGTATTGACTTTGTTATATTTGTATATATTAAGGTTTTGAATGTAATAGTTAGATATTATAGATATCAATGTGGGTTACTCATTGTGTTTAATAGGCATAGTGTTCATGGCAAATGTTTAAGATTAGATAACAATTCAAAAATTCTTGAGTACATCTGAAAATACAGTGAACGTATTTAGCAACACCATGGGACAGACGTCTGGCTTTTTACTCAAATACGGATGCATAGGTGCTTTGTATATATCCTAAGAGATACCTGTCATCTTTCAATCTATTAGTTGAATTTCTCAAGGCAAATTGTCTTTTTTTTCATTGAATCATTTTACAATACATGTATATACGTTTATTGCAACATGAACAAAAGACATTTAGTAATGTACTGTATTACTTTCACTTGCGTAATAATGCAATTCAATTTTATTAGTTCATAAGAAAGCAACTTTATTCTCATAATTATACAATATGTTCATGTGGATTACGAAGTGGAAGTATGTTTAATAGTATAAGATATGATCATACAGTATGTATTTAGGCCCAAATAATTATCGTTAATCATAAGTAATGGCCTTCAACAATATCTAGTGGTTAAAACACGTCCAAATTTAATTATAAGGTTAAGAAGTAAGGGAAGAAATTGTACTTTTTAAGAAAAGTTAGGATTATTTTTCATTTGTACTTGACTTTTAATAGTTTAGAAGTTTTGACATGAGTTATAAAGAATTATTAGTGATTTAATATATGTCTCCGCAGGCAAATATAAATGTAAATAGACATAGGATATAACTTATTTCACTCGTTACTTCCTATCCACTTAAAAAGGGTAATTTAGTTGTATGACGCCGAAAAAATTTTACACAGCAAGACATTTTTCCACTTTACAATTATACTTAAAGCATATAGTGCTTGAGACACACTTCTGCACCTCAAAAAGACAGAATGACCCTAAACTACAAACCAAAAACCTTTATCCTATCTGAATAGTTGTTGCTTAAAAATTAATAGTACTGACAAAAAAAACTTTACCTTTCTCTTATCTCAAATTTCAAATTTACTTTCCCAAATTCAAGAATCCTAATCCCCCTAATTCCGCTTAATTCGTCTCCATTCTCGTTTTGAAGACAATAAAGAACAGGGTTTTTTCTCTGGCTTGAAGCCCAAAATGTTTCCATTTACCAATCATGAATCACTTTTTAAAGAAAAAGTTTTGATATGAGTTATAAAGAATTATTGGTGATTTACTGAAGATAATATATGTCTCCGCGGCAAACATAAACGTAAACAAATATAGAATATAACTTATTTCACTCGTTACTTTCTACCCACTTAGAAAAAGGGGAAATTTAGCTGTATGACGCCGAAAAAATTAATAATCATCCTACTAATAATTTTTTTTTTTACTTTTTCACTATTTCTTGTGACTTTCTATAATATTATAGTATTATCCTTGTTTGCAACCGCCAAAACCTGCAAGTAAATTCTTTTTAATAATGATTAGGTTTCAAAAGTTTTGCGTGTCCATTACAGAGTCACAAGCCCTCACATAGTTTATTCATCTTCTTGAAGTGTGTTGCAAAGAGAACATCATCTTCACTTTTGAAATGATTGTGAGACTACGGCGTTACATTTGAAGTGCGAGAAGGAGCAACCCTAGCCGCCTTCCCTTTGTGGGATTATTGATGAAATAGTCTATGTTGATGGTGAAGGATTGTGGTGAATAATAGAAATTCAAAGACTTGTGTGGCGTGTGCCCCAAAGTTGATCAGAAAAGATGAACAGTTTTTGTTATTGTGTTGTGTCATATTATATGCATATAGAATAAAAATGTATTTTTATATTTTGTTTAGCAATATATTCTGTTACAATACTATTTTATCAGGTTCCATTTCATTCGATGGTTACTAAGAACTTATTTATTTTGTTTAGAAATATAGTTTGTAATTTTTTTAAGTTCTCGTTACATATTTTTTAACCTGTAAAAAATTCACTATGATCTATATTGTATAGTCTAATATTACATAATATGATTTAATTTTACATAGTATTATGTATGTTTTAGATTTTGATATTTGGGTTAGGGTTTAGTGATTAGGTTTTAGTATTTAGTAGGTGAGAGAGCATGGTTGGGATCAGCATTAACTTCTTTCAAGTAATCATAGACATATCATAATTTCACCGACATGTGCTATGTCATTTGTTTTGTTCCATTCTATTTAGGTTTAGGGTTTATATTTGGGTTTATAGTTTATATTTGGGAAAAAGTTTAGTAATTAGAGTTTATGGTTTAATATTTAGAAGGCGAGGATGTACAGTTGGGGTCATCATTAACTTCTTCTATGCAATTGTAGATATTTTATAGCTTCACTAATATGTACTATATTATTTATTTTTGTTCCATTTTATTTGGATTTTACACTACAAGAAATCTGAGTGTTTATAGCAGAACAGGATAGCGTTTTTTCGATTATGCTATGGCTGGTATATTTCCTATTTTTACATGGCGTTCGTGAAAATGCAAAGGCTATGTTAGGTTAGTCCGATTTTAACTATAAAAAGACCTTTTCGAAACGTAGTATACATAGCTTTCAGTTTCGAAACGCTATGTAAAACTAAAGCGGGAAAATAATTGATTTTCCCTCTCACCACTATTTCACTTTCCTTCTATTTTATTTACCTCCAAAAACTCGAAATCCTAACCCCTAAACCCTAAACCCTAAAACCTAAACTCAAAACAAAAACTTTAGACTTTAAAATTTTAATATCAAATCTCGAATTTAACTTCAATGTTTAAATAGAAACATAGAAATTAATATTTTCAAAAATTAATCTCAAATCTTAAATCAATACCCCAAACCTTTAACCTTCAAAACATATATCCAAACTTTTATTTTAATCTCCAAATTTAAAAACTAATCTTAGATTAATCATGTACCATAAAATTTAATTAAAAATCTTAAACTCTATTTTTTATTTATATAAATTTAAATCTTAAATTTAATCACAAAATATCTTAAATCTAAACCCAAACACTATATTCTCAACCCTAAACTTACTAAATTTTACACCTTAAACTTTAAACTTTATATTTAAATTTTAAACAGTTTTAATAACTCCAAACCCTGTTCCATTTTCCCCAAACCCCCAAAACTTAACTTCAAACCCTACATACTATACCACAAATCTTAAATAAACACTAACTGTAAATACAGATATTTTCAAAATTTAATCTTAAATTTTTCATTGAAAATCAAAATTTAATATTTTAAATTTTTTAATCTCAAATCTTAAAACCCAAGCTCTAAACACCATACTCCAATCTTAACTCTATACCCTAAACTCCAAACTACACTTGAATCTTATATTCTTTATGGTAAATCTAATTTCTACTTTTTAAAAAATTCTAAATTTTAATTTCATGTTTTAAACTTAAACCTTAATCTCTATTTCATCAACTCTAAACTTTATTTTTTCAAACAACCTAAAATCTATTTTCTTTATCCAAACATCAAGCAAAAAATTAATTTTTAAAATTATAAATACAAATCTAAAATTG